TAACAAGACGATTAAATCCAGCTAAACTATGAGATTAATAATGGATTAAGAAGTGGCGCATGCGCGTATGCGGTCATGTACGAGGCTGACTGGATCCGAATCTGGTTGCGATCAGAATGTGTGGTTTCGTGGAGCCCGGTGTGTATGTGTATCTGTGTGTGAATAGTGAGTGAGAATCTGGTTACCAGGATATACTCCTGTTTTGCATAATGTGCCGTTGGGCCATAACTCGGATCATGATGGAATGAAATTGAATTGGCAGTTGATCAAATGAAGCAATGAAGCCCGTAAGCAGCTCTAAACTTTAATCTGAACACCAGAGAAACACTTTGTGATCTGGACGATGTTGGTTTCCGTTCTGAAAACAGATAAATGCATCCAGTTTTGAAGTTTTAAGACAACAGAAGCGATTTGATGACCTGGAGGTTCTGTTTAATCGCTCACATATGTGAGTTTCTTGTGCAGATAGTTGTCTATTGATTCATTTCCCATTGTGTTGGTAATTTTAATCTTTTTGACATATCTTTCTTAAAAACACTTGGTATGATAAATATTGTAACTAACCCCTTCCTCCTTGAATCGGTAACCAGCTCGATGACATCCTAGTAAATAACCTGCAAATTCTTTTCCGTGAAAAATGAGTCCCTATTAGCAATTCAGATTTCTTCAAATTTTTACAACCAAAAAGTTCTGATAACCGTGAGCATCATCATCATCTACTAGCACGTCTTGTTTCCGGGACCCCAACAAAGATCCATTTATCCAGTAGTAAAATAAGACTTAAAGACATGGTTTACTTGGCCGTCTTTTCCGCTGCCGCCCGTACTGTAAACCCATCCAAGTGAGACCGTAGGACCCTTGAATTTGATTTCGTTTTTAACCGTGCTATTCGATGCAAACTTAATACACTCACAACGAAAGATTCTCCTCGGCTTTAAAGAAGCATCATTTTTGATCAGGAATAAGGTGCGCCTGAATCAGATGTATCTTAAAACTGTTCTGGGAAAGAAGAAATGTCATCGACATTGAAGCTGATCCACGGTGCATCAAGCAGTTCCGTGATGGGATGTGAAAGGTCTAAATCATCAGTTTTTTTTTCTTTTTGTACCCAAGTAAAAGTCGGTCTTCTTTTTGCCTTCTGAAGAGAGCTACACTTTGTCTCCCTACCTGAAGCATTGTAAACCTAAGTGGATACGATCTGGATTCATGATCCCTCGTCATGTTGAATGTGTGTGCCGTACAGCTTGCTTGCCGAGGTGTTCAATTTTTGTTTATGTTTTGTGAAAGTATCTGTGATTGCCAAATATTTGCCCGCGTAACATTCATTCTCCAAACAAGGTTTTCCAAGTACCGATCGATTACTTGTACATGACCACTGTTTGAAGTTTTCGAAATAATGCTATTGAACCGGATGACTTCTTTCCATAATGTTCATGATCCCAGTCAGTCTACCTATATATGTATTTTGTTTGCACTCTTGATACTGTTACCCATATCATCCACGATGTCACTTCTTCCTTAGATAAAGAGCCTGGCATCGCTCGTTTAATTTTTCTAGATTGTGCAAATATTTTGGGGTCAACTGACCTTTGAGGCGTTTCTGTTTACGTCAATACCTTTGCATTCCTCTCTTCCAACCGTAACGAATTCAACCTGCCTGAAGAGGTGATAACTGGGTGTCTCTCCACTGATTCTGACTGGTTCCATCAGTTGCAAAGCTGTCTAAACCTAATTTTTCACTTGTTTCGTATTCCAACTCTCATTTTCAAAATATGCTGCTCTTATCAATCTCGTTTTAGGAAACTGACCGATTTCCTTGCTAATAGCATCCCTCCATAGGTTCACGGTATGCACTGCAGCGACATCAACTTTTCACAACCTTCCTTGGGTAAAACATGCTGAAAGTCTCAATAAAGGTCATACAGTTATTAGGTTTCGCTCATTTTTCGTTCTTCCACCCAAGTTCAAATAACTTCTATGGTTTCGGAGACAAAAAGAGCAACAATAGAATAATGAACCTTAACAGCTATTGCATTCACACAAATAGCGGTTATACGTACCTTGCCTAGATTTTCGTGAACCAATCGATTTCGGGTTTGATGATATGGTGCACATAACGCTTTTGGCGCACCCACGTTTATATGCCCTTTATTTTTCGTGAACGCCTAGAAGTGCAGTCATGAAATTCGGTAAGCTTATGTCTTGCCTTATCTCCATATTCGATTCGTAAACGGATTCGAAAATTTCATTGATTGGCGAAAATTCCAAATTTAATTTAACTACTGATTTCCTTCTGATATAATTTTTATTTTAACTAAATTCTCAATTCCTAACGTCAGAAAATCTCAGGGACCTTTTAAGTTCGTATCAACAAAGGTTATTCTACTTGGTTTTCATATGGTTGTATTTACTAATCAGTTATGGGGTACGGTAAATGCATTGCGCATACGTTAGATTAATTAACCCGTATAAAGTCCATCTTCCAGACTACAATTCGAAATCGATATAGGACCTCAGTATAGTATTAAGACCAAAATACGCTGACCAAAATTCATGGTCCGGCGTATATGCGTTGATGAAAAAATGAAGAGAAACAGGAATGAATTACGAGTAGTTCGTTCACTGTATTTTAGAAACTTGCATGTTTTTCCAAACTGCTGACGACACTTGTTTGTCTACGTGTTTATGCTAACTTGTGAGTGATGAGAACAGACGCTTGTTATTTTCTGCTCACTATCGTTCTTTTTCATATGCCGTGTGATCGATAATTGTTGATTCGGGCTCGAACATGAATCAACAAAGCGAGTCACAAATTTAATTTAATTTTCTGGTGGACTGGGTTTCTCACTTTTTACCCAACTGTGTGAGCGAATTTCCGTTTGGTTACAGGCTCCCACAAAGTAGACCGGAAGCAGCCGAAGCTTGACCCAGCATGTGAGATGGTATGCGAAGTCTGTTGCGAGTGTCCTTAGAATGAAGACCGTCATCGGGTTAGATGTCAAACAAGAATACAATGTGGCTGAGAACTGGCCAGACTCAGCCAACTTTTGAGGCTTCATATGTGAAATGTGCACATTCATTCATGCGGTTGGTGCACGGTACTACAGGTCTACGCGTCGACCAGTCCCACCTAAAACTCAAATGGTCAGGAATCATTTATAGTTGAAAATGCGTTATCTTATCGAATTCAGGTTAGCAGGTTTCGCTGGCTAGGACACGTTTTGCGCATACTGAGTTATCGTCTACTCCACCGCCTCTTATTCTTTATTACCGCTCCGGTTTGAAGAACACCACGTGGAGGTTGAACGGTGACATGAAGACGAAGAATGAACAGATTTACAGAGTGATTAAGTGTAATAAGTACCCTTAATCTTACAAGATTGGGTCCAAAAGATTCCGTAACTGGATGGTTGAAGATACTGAAGGATATGTCGTCTAATGAACAGCCGTGAAGTTTGTATTGTCATATATCATCAGGTCAGAATTCCTTAAAATGTGTGTATGCACTACTAGGTATTTATTTTCAGTCTCTATTCTGATTCCATCACCGTTGATCAGTTTTCCCAAACTAGTAGTATTTGAATTGGTTACTTGCTCTAGACTGAAATTCGAAAATACTATTCTGTCTGATAAAGCGAAGCTAATAAATCAAAACGATCTAGCGTATACTGTCGTTCATGCAAGCTAACTGAGATTCAAAATGCTTTTAATTACTCAAAAATCATGTTGCGTAATGGGTGGGCTGAATCATGTTAGTCACGTAGAACTGATAGGTGGTAAGAATAAAACCTGACAACAGCCCTTAGATTCGGTAGGACGAACCGTATTCCCGTCAACACCTAGGTCGGTGAGTCTCGAAAGGGATGAAGAAAGTTTGAATCTCAATGAAACGATTCTCACGAATGAACGTAGCCATACCAGAAATATCACATTTCTCGTTAGAATACACACAGATAACTTGCGTATATTGAAGTAAGATGGCTCGAATTAGGTCTGAGGATTGAACTCTATCATGCGCGAGGGATGAAATAGGAACTAAACGTCATCAGCAACCAAAACGCATAAAAAACTAGCAATCCTTGAAATAATGAACTCCATATTAGATCGAAGATGGCTTAAGAGTGGTAAGAATGACTGAACATTAACACTGATTGATGGTCGTTTTGTAATGTATCGGCACACCCGATTCTGGTCTAGTTAAGCTATTTTGATGCCCTCCGCGAATTATGTTAATTCGTTCTACCAACACAAATACAGCCCACCATCTACCGTGCGCAGTCGGGCATTGTCCCGGAGGTCGTGAGTTCGTTCCTGCCGCTCTCCGTCTTTTCTACACGCTTTATTTTGTGTTTCCCGAGGCAGATTAAAACTGGTCGCAAACCCTCAAATGTACTCGCCAACTGAAAGAGGTAGAAGGAGTTTAATAAAAAGCACGCACACACTTGAAGTGGTGGCTCTTAAAGACTAAACCCAGTTCAACGTAAATGAAAATGAGGGGTACTTTGCTTGCCACTACACTGGTGACCTAACCCAATATCGTATTCCTTATCTCATTGCACACAACCACCCACACGTGTACAAAGTCACCATCCTCCTTTGCTAGATTTTATCCATAAGTAAACCTGTTAACTGAAGTTGATCTTTGATGTATCAAGTTAGTAATCTTTGCCTTAGTAGATTTAATGAATCGGTTATTTACATAACCCAATCTTCACTCAATGATGATTGATGACCGGCTTGTGCGGTCATTATCTTGTTCCATCATATCAAGTTTTAACTAAGTTGGAAGAAAGCGACCGCATAAATGAAAATGAGCTATCTATGTGTAAAGTGTTTTTAACCTGAAATTCGTTCGTGCGAATCACTGTTTCAGTTATTTGTTTTCCTGCTAATCTTCTCCTTCACACTCCCCTCCCCCTCTTCCACAACCTTCCAACCTTAACAGATTGATGTGTTCAATCAGAGCAATCATCTTTGGCCTCAGCCTCCTGTTCTGGTTCATGTCCGACTCCAACGGGGTTGTAATCATGGAACTGGGATTGAGAAGATGTGATTTACAGCGCACGATACAACTGAGCAAAGCTCAAGATGGAGCAACGCACTCCAACTATACGTTTATAATTACTGTACAATCGCTGTCTGAGGAAATGTACGTCCCCGATAGTCCTATACCGTACGTGTCCGGTGAGCAAAAGGCAATATGTTCTAATTGGTTCCCATAGCACGGTCCGCTGATCTTGCGATTCATGCATAAAGTATTCCCACCTATAACCTTCTCCACTACAAAACACATTCGAACTAGTCCTATCAGAATTTTTCCGATCCTAAATTGTCAATGGAAGCCACACTTCAGTCTACCCTCTTCAGTTACACGATTTGTAGTCATCAATCACTTTTGCACAGCATTATTTGGTGTTTTCGGTCGCGTTAACGTCATCCGAGCATCTAGTGAGACGTGTTGGTATGATGCGTTCGACAGATAGTGCAGAGTAAGCTTTTGCGAGAACATGGTACGATGGTACATGGTCACAACCACGCTTCGTTAGTCAACTGTCGCCCTAAGTTGCAGCACTGTACACGAAATCAGTTACACGATCTCTGTAGGGCATTCTATTGTGGTGAGAAGTTTACTACAGTGATAGTCTATTTATTTACCAAACTTAAACAGGTCACCACTGTAAAAAGAAAAGTAAACAGGAGATTTTGCACCCACTTTTTAGGGTTGTTCGTCATCTTACTACTCGGCTGTGTAAACAAGAGTGTGAAGCCAACCTAAGGGATCTCATACAGAGTCCTTGACCGAAATGTTCATCACGGCAGGTACGATAGAGGCTCTGTGAGTTCATTTCGGAGTCGTTGAAGCAGAGGTTGGACCAGCAGTTCTTCAGAAGGGGTTCCCATATACAGGATCCCAATCCACCTTATTGGTCAATGGAGACGACGATTGCATAACTAGTATACACTGGATTAAAGAAATGATCTTGCTTAGCAAAACGTTGGGCTATTTTTTCAAACAAAAATGAGACTGAGACCCTGCTCGAACATAACTGGTTAAGTTGCTCAATAACCGTGATTAGTTCCCTTTCGTAATTACAGCATACTCTATTAAATTAATTGAGTGAATGAGCTTTTGGCTGCAAAAATGCTTTCGAACAAATATTTTCGAACAGAATATCAGTATCTGTCCTCACGAACCCCCCAAATCCATATACCCCTTCTCCGCGCACTACTTACGCTATGCCTCTTCAGATTCCATAACTACTTCGTACAGTGAAAGGTAAACAAATTATGGCATAATTGAAATACGATTTATTCACCAGTTAGTGTTTATGTTTCAAGCTTTTGGGCACTGAACCGACAGTATCCGTGTGGACGACATCGGAGTCAATTCAACTCGGTTAATTTGATCTGTCGTGCTGTGATCGAGCTGAAGAAAGGCTAGCAAATACGGGGAGGAACTTAGGGTTTCAAACCTATAATCGATACGCACAACTGATAAACTCTCTGCTGAGAGCAGAAATTGGTGCAAGTATATCCCTGGTTGATCTGGGACTTTGGTATGAATATGAAATCTGAATGATAGTTTGGTAAGGTTTGATCGAATAGATTAGGATGCGAAAAATCGGCAACTCATAGGCCTATATTGTTGTTAATTGGTAGTTCTTTTTTGGCTGTTATAACTAATTTACGTCCAACCTATCGTGTTTGAGTATAGGATTTTGGTGCCGTTAACTTTCACACTCATGCATTCGAATTATGACCGTCTTTTGACGGCTTTTTAATCCCTTTTAAATCGAGTTCAGACATCAGGCCGTCCATGTGCTACAACTAACCGTCACGTGGTGATGGAGAATTGGATGATGATCGCGAGGAGCAGGAGGAGGATTGGAGTTTTGACCCCGTTGCGTGTTTGACTTTTCTACTGAAACGTAAAGAGTTGGCTTAAATCAGAGAATAACAGAATAAGAATTTAATAAAAATCGATAATAAAAACTGCCAAACGCATGCTATGAGAACTAGGGGTGTATCATACTGTTTTCCGAAATTTTGGCCTAGATTTAGACATGAACAATAGATAAATCAAAGGTGGGGCTTAAATACCAAATATTCAGATATTTTTGTATAAATAAAAATGCAGGTATCTTGCCGAAATCGACTTAAAGAGTGTTTTTCGTCAGGATTACAAACTAGGTGGAGTCCCAACTATTTCTGTGGACAAGCTGGAGAGGAAAAATCCTATGAACATGCAATAACACGCTTCCGAGTTGTACATAATATGGACCAAGGCATATAAGCTTCGGTCAGTAGTGCCTACAGTTAATATTGATTCAGTTTACCAATTACCGTTTTGATGCACCGTTTGAACCCGAAAGGGGGTACGCGACTCAAACTGAACACAGAATCTACTTGTACTTACGCATTGTACACAGAGGAATCCCCATCAAAGCTGTGTGCAGTACATCTCATTCAGTTTTAACCAATAAAACTCATACTTGATTATTTCCCCAAGGGCTACAGTATCTTCGGTCTGTCTGGCATTCACACCATACTAAACGTGCAGCCGAAATCGCTGCCACATAATTGTGATTTCTCGACGTTAGGTACAAGCGGTCAGCAACCGAGGATAACTATTAGGATTTACCTGCCAGCTAGTTGTTGCATCGATGACGCGGATGTTTCTGGGTCCCCAAGTATTCAACAATACTTTGTCGGAATTTTGTCGACAATGTCCGTTGATTGGATGTCGTACCACTCTCGGAGTAATCAGAATTTCGAATGGAATCGTATCAGACAATTGGTTTTATTATGGGAAATTCAACTAAACTATTTCTATGATGCCATTGTGATCGCATAGTGTGATTTGAACACTGAACAATTTGATTTCGGCTAATCCCCAATGTTGTTCGTGGCGTGGCCGCAAATCGTCTGGAAACAGGGTTTCCAACTCGGAGGATCCTTCAGTACCAACATTCTAATCCGGAGCTACGAATATTCAAGATAGTTGCCAGTTCACAATAATTTCCATCGTGAAATTGTTGGATTAACCTGTTCAATATGGACGATACGAGGTTCTGCAAACGGTTGTCCAGAACTTGCAGGGACAGTTTCATTCTTCAGTCCATTGCTTCGTTCTTTCCAGCCGTGTTTTCTATATTTTGCAATCCTGGCCGAGGGCTATCACATTCATTTTTCACAGTATGGAAATCGAGAGGTCATATTATAGTACATAACCGCTGGTAACTATTCGTGTGGAATGCATATTATTGATGGTGATGAACTCTTACAGGGGTACAACTATGGAGTTTGATGATTTCCGAGCTTTTGTTCCACCGGCAGAATTGGGGAATGAGGAATTATCAGTCCAAATAAGCCGCAAAACAATCATTTGTTTAAGATGAACTCTGTCTTCCGGTTCTATCAGTTTACGTTACCTAACAGTTTATCTTGTCATGCGTGGGGATCGTTGATTTCAGCCGTATTAACCCGGGGCTATTTTCAGTATGGAATGCAATTGAAAAAATCAATATTAAGCATTTGCTGCATGAGCAAAGCTTCACAGCACCCACTAGTTTGAATACACACGTATGAATTCAGTGCTCATCATAGTGCATCTCAGTCATTCAATTAACGTATGGCGCTCATCGATTTTTAAGCGTGTAAAAAAACATTCAGCAACAGAACTGAAGCGCACATTTTGCCAGTGATGATGTCACTATCCGGTTCAAGGAAATGGTAAGACAGTTTATCCGAATTAGATCGCATTAGATCGACAAGAATAATTGTTACGCACGAAGATAACTGTGTCAGCAGGATTTAATACCTGAATGATTTGGTCAAGTTCGATGGGCAACGCTTTTAGCACGACTGTTTTATACACATATTTTTAAATTTCTCCGAAGTTTATCATTACACATTAAACGAGTTGTGAAAATTAGTTTGTAAGTAAACATTTTTGATAATCAATTCTTCCTTCAAAGCCTACACCTACTTCTGTTTTACACTAGGTCAAAATGACTCGGCTTTTATCGTGAAATAAATACCAATACATGCGGCATCGTTTGGAGAACAACACGTACAATTTTGAGTGAAGGGAAAGCTCTACAAATATCGCTTGCATTCCGCCCCACCCTTTGCTAATACACGTTCTAAATCAGCTCATCTCACAGAAAGGAAGACTGTTCAGAACTTTGCAGTCCTGCATCTCAGTCATAAAACAGCATTATGAGAATACCGTTGTGAACCTCATCCATCGTTAATCCAAGTTTATCCTATTCGCCCAGAAAAAGATAACGTGATCTCATTTAGACGGCAAGATTGTTTTTTTTTCAATTACATTCTAATTATAAGCCCCAGATTTAGGAACATTTCAATTTAGTTCAGTTTAGTTTGCACTGGACGAATATGTCTCTTACCAATCGAGTGTCCAGTTCGTTTTGTTTTTGGTGGGTTGGTGTGGCTTCCAACACTTCATACAGATGATTTGTTACTTGTGATCCACTCAATTTAGCTCCGTTTCCAGGAAGTTATCTCCTTGGATTAGTTTGCTGAAAGGGAGGAAAACAAGCAACGATGTCTCCTCGCCACATCGGTGAGAGAATTTGAGGTTCACAGGCGTTCCTACATATTTCTGTGCCAGAATTCTACAGACTGACTCGATTTTAGTATTTTTTAATGGACAAAGGTAATAAAATTGTCTGTTACATCGTGATGTTTAGAAGTACAAATGAATGAATGAGTTGTTATCATGGAACTAAAAGGTGTTAGTGCGGAGCGAGAACACAGAGAGGGGGGNTATCGAGTTCACCGGATAAATACAGAATCTAATTATAATCGCAATGCACTGACTTGCTCCGAGCATAGTAGTCACTGAAAAAAACTGCGTGGAATGGAATAGGAGAGATAAATGTATCATGGTGATGTCTTGTTTCATATCTAAACAATGACAAAGAACCTGTGTGACACAGCAAGGAAATGCCCCAAATCTCAGCCATGAAAATTGAGCATTCTNCCTGCTAAATCTCAAAAGTAGCCTATTTTTTGTTCTATACCATTTTGCTGACTCTTGATAACCGATAACCAAATCTCTGGGAGCCACGTGCACCTACAATTGCATAGGCGTGGCATTTTTAGCCGAACAATAGCCTAGATACTGACCGTCAAATATGGGTGACGATAACAGAATTCGAACCTCGGACTCCAGTGTCCCTAGCTTGCCAATGAAACCACCAAAATAGTTTGACCGTCACTCAATCCGGCAACTGATCTCTACTTGGAAGGATGACTTTGGCAATGGATAAATGCACGTTCACTCAACATTACTGAACTGATTCTCCCTTTCGGCTTCTGCTTCTCTCCCTTTCATTCTTTTCTAGCCAGGAGTGGGTGATCACAACTGATCGTTTGTTTGAAACCGGCCCCGAAAATGTGTTGCTTTTCCCGGAATTTATATTCTCTACGGAACACAACCCGGTGGTGGTAGTGTTCGGTCCGTTCAATGGAGTAAGTCAAAACTCATTGTTAAAATTTGTCGGATAATGCGTGTAATCAGAGATGGAAATACCCATCTCTTTGATAACAGTTTAATTTAATGTGACGATTATTGCGTGCAAAAATGTTTAAGTGTTTTGCGCTTGAACACGCTGCGAATCACGCTCTGTCCCGATTAGAAAAGCGTGCTTTCAAGAGGAATTTTCAGTCATGAGCTTTCTTACCCACCTCCCCCACAAAATGTTTCTGGCCTCAATAAACTGGGCAATTGTGGATAAATAGATTAGTTAATAGGATATTTACTGATCGGTTATGTGATAAAACTTGATGCGTATAGAGTACTTCGATAAAAATGCTGTCCGGTCAGAAATGAAGCGTTCGATCAAAATCCCACCGATTCATTAATTCGTTTTACAGAGCCACTCAAAATACAATTAGGTGAACTTGAATGTTAGTAAATTATCATTTTGAATTTTGAGATGCCTTGGTGATGGTGTTACGGTGGTCGTCGATTTAACTGTCCTCGGGTGACTACTGTTCCATCAGATTAGATCTCCCTCACTCACTGACCNCCCTTGTCGATGAGCATTCAAACCTGACCGCTTACTCAAAATTATGAAACTTCATGGATGAAAGAACTTTGCCTCGACTGGTGATACCCAACGTGTTGTTAGCTGTTTGTGTGGAACTAACAGCAAAAAATACTAGCGGAAGTTTTCGAATAGGGAATTTGGGACCAGCCAAACGCAGAAAATCATGTAAATAACTACGTGAAATTTAGGTAGAACGTACCTCAAATGAAATTAAGCTCTGATGTAAAAAAGGTTAAGAGATTTTTCATTACTTGCTTTGTACGGCTTCTGATAGATTCTCAGAACAAACAACAGGTCAAGACCATTATGGATCTCTTCTGTATTATACCGAGTCGGTAAAACGAACTGACCTCAATCAGAATAGACTAGATAACTTCGGAAACGCGTAGCACATTAACAATAATAATAATAAAATACTGCACCAATACAAACGACTCTACATTCTGTCTGTCTCGATTCCAGTTCACTAAAACGCTATAGGCTTTAGATCCTAAAATAAGTAAACTCCTTAATTACGGCAGTTAACAAGGTGTATTCATTTATTTATTTGTTTTAATTTTTTATTATTGTATTTATTCATTGTATTACTCATAAGTGGTAAGGGCAAAACATCTTGAGCGTTTCATTGCAAGTTGGAAACATTTACTGTGCGGCTACATTTCGAAGGTGGTACATTTGGAAGCGCTTTGTGTAACGCTGAATTTAACCGATGTGGGTGTTGTGAACTTTAGAGGTTGCGATGTTTGATAGACTAAACTATATTTATCAACTGTTCAATTTCATAAATCAATTCAGGTAACACCACACCGTCTTCTTTCGACTCACCTTAAGCACCTTGAATTTCATTCCTTCCAATTAATAATCTTTCAGTCTCATGATAAATTACAACAAACAGCTTTAAAATGTACCAAAACCAATATAACCCCATAAATAAAGCGTACGATCATGGGGGTTTGAATAGATCTCTTCTGTTCATGTCGTATATACCTTTCTGGATCTCGATGACCTTGACCCTACAGTCGGTATTCCGTCTGTTTCTGACATGTCCAAATTTTGCCCTGGGTACAATCGATCTGAACTACACCTTTATCAGGTGAATTCGAATTTTCGGGAACGCAACACACACGTGATACGTTCGCTGCCATCCCCGCCCTTGCCACATACACCGTAGTGAAACTGAGTCCAGGCAAGATTGTTCAAAATGGACCCACTCATACCGGTTCCCAACCAGGTTGGTTCGACTCAGGTCTGACCGGCCATCGGGGTGAAACAGTTCCACAAAGGGGGTGTTTTCTTCAATTTTCAGTTCAGCAGATGAAACTTTTGTATCGCTGAGGATCCTGCAAATGGACAGAATGAATGTGAAAGATCTGGGAAACGACGAATTTTAGAAACCGGATTCCTGGGACTGACGGTATTTTAAAACCCAAATCCCACTGACCTCTATCATTGCTCAAGCTAAGTGCAGAACCATTGCCAAGTACCTAAACTAAAGCTATAATCGTAGGAAAGTGAATACAGTTTTAACGTAGAAAAATACAATTAAGACACAGATTGGGGACGGATGAACAAAAGGCTCATTTTTCTAGCAGATGTTGTGAGATTTCCATCACACGATGAAAACGGCTTGCGTAAGTGGTGGCGATCTATGATAGATGCGATTATTACTATAACCAATCTACACATGAAGTTGTTATGTCTGAAAGATGTTCGACGACGTATTACCCCTCCTCACCTCCCACATATACAAGCAGCATCAATCGTAACCGGCGTACGTATAGTCAAAATATAACAAAACACCTTCCAAATACCCGAACCCGACATTCTCAGGTTTTTCGTATCCCTAAAACAAATTGAGCGATGGAAATCTATCAGGTTGTATTTAAGTCAAATCGTCGAAAGAACAATGGATACCACGAATTCCTTTAGCCAGACCAATCAGGCTTTCATGACTATCTATTAAAATGCCTTGCCTAAAAAAATTACTAATATTATTAAGAAGGCTGTATATGAATATATTCAGTGAGACCACACATATCAATCAATCACACCATGTTGCTGATAGTTACCATGTTCCTTATCTGTGCTAATCTCCGGCTCCGCACACACACACACACACACACACACACACACACACACATCCATTTCTCTTTGTGAGACTTTCTCATTGTTCAGCAACACTGACAACGATTTTTAATAGTGGCAGTCTTGTTTTACAATCATCTGACTATTTTTTTCAACCAAAAAAGTTTTTGACACTCACTTGAATACATTGATCAGCTTTTGTTCCATTCATGGCCTCCATGTACACACCCGGTGAGAGAAACAGAACGAAATGGACCAGGAATCATCAAACATTCAAGGCCCTAATGGTGATGCACTGTTAAAATACAGTGTAGTGATCTCATAAAGCGCAGTGGATGGAGTAAGGGCAGAAGACAATGGGACTGATATGACAGAAGCAGAAATAACGGATTACCAGTAACCAATCTGGCCACTTAGCTACATTAAACTTCGTGAAATAAGGCCTAATATTGCGAATAATGCTTTTGTGGAAGGGTATTAAATGATCGTGACTTAACTGTTGCTGTAGGAGTTCAATCATTGTAAACCTTTGTACAGATTGAACCAAATCATCAGTGATCGGGGTCATTAACGGTAGAGGAACAGTTGGTGTAGTTGACCCCATCAAACGTAATCACCATACAAAGCCCAAACGCCGTATGCACCTAGTTGAATTTTTGTCCTGTTGGTTGATCAGATCTCCCTTTGTGGTTAATCCTTACCTCATACAATGAATCAGGAAATTACGGGATTCTTTTTTCCGTAGAACTCGGTGTACACAACGGGGATAGGGGTGAGGAGGGGACTGCCCAGAGCTACAGAGTTCACAGCTTGTCTCGAGTTCGTCCAAAATGATAACCATTCAAGCCGGGTGCAACAATGTGCACCACAGCTAGCGTCCAACTAAAGCCCGTACCAAATCAGGTCATCCGCGCAGCGTCACAATATTTGATTTTCAATTCCTACTTGAATAAAAAGGTTATTGTTGAGTAGTAGTTAAAGTTAAAATTGACCTGCACAGGTTATGTGTACTCACTAACTCCGATTCAAACCAGTGGTCCGAAGACCTAACGGGCGCTATTCAATTATGGTCAATTTGTCAGAGTGAAGAACTCCCGCTTGGATTTATAGTGCGGTCGGAAAGGCAGATTACCATCTATCGTTTGTAGATCAAGCTGAGCATGCTCATTACCGGATCACTGATAAAGTGATCAGTGCATCGCATTTGGCAGGGTCAATTTTTTTATTACGCACTTTCGTGTGATGAACGGCAGACGGGGAAAGCCCCATAATAATGAGGACCTGATGTTCAGTGATGCAATCCGGTAACCTAAGCCTCAGGACTTGGAGTGGTGAACCACATAAGGCCTCGATAGCTTAGGTGTGATATTGAACCGGACTAGAGCACAGCGGTCTACCACCAAAGTTGGGTGGCGGTGGCCGGACTCAAACCTCGGACCATAAGGTTCGAAGCACGCCTGTCACAGCGACTAAACCACTGCGCCACCACCAGGAGTACGCGTCATTAATGACACACTTAATTAGCGAACGATCCGCTGTTTTTTCAGTTTACATTTTCTGTGTATTGCGTACCTGCTAACTTGTGCGAATGTTACCAACAATGTCTGCACAATGTAACAGAAAGAAACAGTGTGATGGAACTGCAGCACTATCAACCGAAAAGCATTGCCTATTAAAATGTGTGCTAGTGATAAACGTAAACACGAAAATAGTTTAATTACAGAATGAAAATCCCATCCAATATGGAGGAAATAAAACGTGAATGCAAGGTTGGGATGTACTCTGTTCTATTGTTTAAATCTTTTTCGTCTTCATCGGTCTATCGGCCTGGCTGAGAATTGTAAGTGGTGACCCCCAATGACATAACACAAACCTATCACTCATCGAAAAGCATTCACATCTTCGCGTCTGCGAATTAATCAACCCATCTGATCAGCTGTTTGCTATCCAACTAGATAGGGCGCTTGCATCGTGCCAGTGAGTTCATAAGGTCAGTCCGAGATGGAACCCAACACAGCAGCTGTGTTTTTCACTTTTCACATTCACATTTCCTTCCGGCCATCTGTGATGAATGTTTTGCTCTGTACAATCCCCATACAACTCTCCATCATTCTCACACCTGAGAAGGTTCAATGTCACATTTTTTCTATTTGACAATTGGTTGTGAGTACGGATCATCATTTCTATTTAGCGTTTCACTGTAAAAGTGAGAGACGTCTCCCCCACGAGTCGTTTAACATTCCCAGTACGTTTGTGGTTTTGTGCCTCAGATTGTTTTCTGTGGCTCAGAATTTCCAAGGTTACAAAAGTGACGTAATAATGTTCATCGATCGA